ACACTTTGAAAAGGGCCCTTTATTCCCAATGTCCCCGAATGATCCAAGTCAAGGCGGGGGGGGAGGGAGAAGAAAAAAAAAAGTTTCCGCCCCCGTCCGAGGTTCCAGCCTTGTGAAGAAATAGGCTACTGACAGTTCTTATAGGTATGGGGCGGGGCCAGCCGGGGAATCATCCCGCCCTTACCTATTTGAGAACTGTACCCTGTCTCTCCACTGAGGCTAGAGTCCTTACCCCATTGGGGTTAAATTCTGTGGGTCCTGTCCTTTGAGCCCATTTACTTTCTGTTGGGTCTACCTTTTGGGTCTCTTAAATGTGCGAGGAAACTTTCCACCTAATTCTGAGGGCACCGGGGAAAACCATTCCCAGACTTAGTGATTCATGTCCCCATGTTACCCGGCATTTTTGATGAAGTCAGAGCGGGAAATGAGAAAGTTGGAGTCCTACCTGCTTTCCACCTGTTACTGTCCCTGGCTGGAGGCGGGGGTTCAGGACCACGGACACATGACACCGATCTGCTGCTCCGACGTTGTGATTGATGGCCATGTCCTGTTTGTATTGACATTGTATGTTCTTATGTACCTCCATCGATGAGCTGCTTAACAGCCTTCTTTCCTCTCTGCTTTATTTACATTTTACCTTGTGCTGCTTGTTGTAATGTTTGACATAGAGAGGAAATGGGTGCAAATAGGTTGCAGGAGATCTGCTGACAAAAGAGGGAAATGGAGTTTAAAGGCTCAGGAATCTGCTAACATAGAGAGGGAAAGACCTTGCAGTGTAAATGAAACCGATTGGCTGCTCCGCAGAAAGGAGTGTCCCGCTTATCTTTCACCCTTTCACTCCCAACATTTTTGCATTTTTCACATATAAAAAATCTTTTTATCCTAAATGACACAAAAACCCCCAAATTAAGATTTCTAAAATAAGACTTTAGAGAATAAAATACGCAGTTCATTTTTTTATGTCACAAAATATGATCACAAAGTCTAAGAAATGCGCAAATTCACATAAAGAATTATATACTTCGTTAATTTTCGAGGCGACAAAAAGCAATAAATACCCATTTATGTGTAAAAATATAAAAGGGTCGGGAAATCTGTCATAACGTCACTTCTGGGTCAGGACAAGAAGGGAGTGAATGTGTCCGCTCTCCTCCGTCCCCTCTACCCTCCGACACCCGCTGACCCGGGCCCACAGATGGGCAAGCAGAGCCAGGGAAGCATAGTAGGTACAGGAGAGGTTCACACACACGGGGTTGGCAGAGGCTGGCACCTGAAAGGAGAGCCCTGCGGCTTGCCCTCAGCAGGGATAAAGATTAAACACAATACTTGCCCGGCCCCCAGAACTACATGTCCCGGGCGTCGGGTGATGTAAAGTGACCATCCCTGCATGATGAGCCGACATTGACCTCACAGCACTGCCTCAGAGCAAACTAGTCATAGGAAGGATCAGATTTATCATTCCTTGTCTGCAGATCTAAACTCATCAAAACCAGTTCAGAGACCAAACAAACCCAACAGAGAAAAGGGGCCCCGGACCTCCAAAATTGTAGTAAACACTAAACAGTCCAAACAAAATGTCTTCCCATGGGGGGAGTAGTTCTTCAATGTCCAGCAACCCTCCTATTCCCCCCTCACATCCACATCCTATTATTGTGTGACCAATACCATCCAAATCATTCTTACTTTCATTTCCCAAAGTTATCCGTCTACAAGGAGACCTGTATAGATCACATGATGGCACCAATGAGGATGGAGGAGGACCGGAGTCACATGACTGAGAAGATACTAAACCTCACCCTGGAGATCATCTACCTGCTGACCGGAGAGGTGAGGAGGGATTCTGGGAGGTCACATGACATCACTCTCTCTCTATTAATAAAACACAGACCTGACCGGAGGTGAGGAGGATTCTGGGAGGTCACATGACATCACTCTCATCTCTATTAATAAAACACAGACCTGACCGGAGAGGTGAGGAGGATTCTGGGAGGTCACATGACATCACTCTCATCTCTATTAATAAAACACAGACCTGACCGGAGAGGTGAGGAGGATTCTGGGAGGTCACATGACATCACTCTCATCTCTATTAATAAAACACAGACCTGACCGGAGAGGTGAGGAGGATTCTGGGAGGTCACATGACATCACTCTTTTCTCTATTAATAAAAACACAGACCTGACCGGAGAGGTGAGGAGGATTCAGGTCACATGACATCACTATTTTGTCTATTCTTTAGATGATGTCAGGTGGTTGATATTGTTTTATTTGTCTCCTGATCTGTAGGATTATGTTGTAAAGAAGAAGTCTAGTGGGGAGCCAATCTCAGGAGGATGGAGCAGAACCCGAGCCTCACCATGGTGCCTCCATCTCATTCTCTGATACCTGAGAGGGAGAAAGAGCAGAAGATTCTGGAACTGACCACCATGATGGTCCATCAGCTGACAGGAGAGGTGAGCGGTGCCGGGAATTCTGGGACATTCTCCAGTAACAGACAAGGGATGTGTCTGGATGGTGACTGTATCATTGTGTGTGTCAGGTTCCTATAAGGTGTCAGGGTGTCACTGTCTATTTCTCCATGGAGGAGTGGGAGTATTTAGAAGGACACAAGGATCTCTACAAGGACGTCATGATGGACAATCAGCCGCCCCTCACATCACCGGGTAAGAGGAGACTTTATTGTAAAGGAGAGAGCAGTACGGAGGATCCACCTAGATCCCCCATCATCTGATAAACACATAGAAACAATGGATTCAGTCAGTGTGTGTGTTTCCTACAGATGGATCCAGTCATGGGAACCCACCAGAGAGATGTCCCCGTCCTCTGTATTCCCGGGATTCCACACAGGAAGGTCACACCATCCCTCACCATCATCAGGTAGATGATGACAATTATTGGTAGTTGTGATTTATACACAGCATGTTTGTTACAATGAATGTTTTATTATATCTTTCAGAGTGGAATCCTCGGGGATGATAATATTGATGTTAAAGAAGAGTATAAAGAGGAGGATGAGAGTATGGAGTGATGGAGGAGTTTTCAGAAGGACACAAGGATATGATGGAGCCACCTAATACCAGGAACCCACCAGAGAGATGTCCCCGTCCTCTGTATTCCCGGATTCCACACAGGAAGGTCACACCATCCCTCACTATTACAAGGTTGGTGGGATGGAGAATCTAGAACATGGACTTGTAGAGACTATGGGCTCCAATCACAAAGCGGTATCTTCCCGTATCCCAGTATGTAGTAAGATGCTGCATTCTGTTTTTTAGTAGTGAAGCCTGCGGGTAATTTACCACTGGTGTCCATAGCAACACTTGTAAATAGCTTGTTGTTAAGGAGAGGGCAGCCGCCAGTGTCCCCAACAACCAGTAAACAAGGAGCGGACGGCCACCAAGTTCCCCGCTGACAGCTGTGACAGGTCTGGTATGGATTTTGAGGGAACCCCGATGCCAAAATAATAAAAAATAAAGGCGTGGGTTCCCCTCCAAAATCAATACCAGACCCTTAGTGAGTGCCCACCTTCCTCCTGAACCATACCAGGCCACATACCCTCAACATGGGGTGGGTGCTTCAGGGCAGGGGCGCTCTGCCCTCCCAAAAGCACCTTGTCCCCATGTCGATGGGGACAAGGGTCCCTTCCCCACAACCCTGGGCAGTGGTTGTGGGGGGGCTTATTGGGGGACTCTAAAGTCACCTTTAACAAGGAGGCCCCCAGATCCCGGCCCCCCCCACAATGTGAATGAGTATAGAGTACATAGTACCCCTATTCATTCACCAAAAAAAAAGTAGTTTAAAAAAAACTGGAAGTAATTTTTTTTGACAAAAAACAAAAAAAATAAAGAAAATATCCCCCTGATGTAGATCCATCGATGATCCAATCACGATACTCGCTGTCATCGCTGACTTGTGAAATACAAAGCTCCCCTCCTCAGTGACATCTGACAGCTTGCCCGCCTCCCACTTCTAAATAAACTAAGGAGCCTACACCCTGTGACATCACTGGGACACAACATGCCCCCGGTCAGTGACGTCACCAATACAACATGCCCCGGTCAGTGACGTCACCAATACAACATGCCCCGGTCAGTGACGTCACCAATACAACATGCCCCGGTCAGTGACGTCACCAATACAACATGCCCCGGTCAGTGACGTCACCAATACAACATGCCCCCCCGTCAGTGACATCACCAATACAACATGCCCCGGTCAGTGACATCACCAATACAACATGCCCCGGTCAGTGACACACCGGTGCACCGTCCTTAGTATATTTAGTGGCAGGAGGCAGCAGAGCTGTCAGACAGAGGGGAGTCTTCATTGGGAGCGGAGCTTTTCTTTCCGAGTCAGCGGTGACAGCGAGCATCGTGATTGATGATGGATCTACACCGGGGGGGACATTTTGCTTTAGTTTTGCTTTTTTAATAAAGGACTTGTCAAAAACTGCCTGCTGTCTATTAAACAGAATACTTTTTTGGGGTGAATAATTAGGGGTACCATGTACCCCATACTCATTCACATGGGGTGAGGGATCTGAGGGCCCCCTTGTTACATTTTGTAAGTCCTCTGCCTGCAAACCCCCACAGCCACTAGCCTGGGTTGTGGGGAAGAGTCCCTTGTCCCCATCAACATGGACAAGGTGCTCTGGGGGAGCAAAGCCCCCCCCCCCCCAGAGCATCCACTCCATGTTAAGGGCACGTGGCCTGGTATGTTTCAGGAGGGGGGGTCGCTTGCTCATCCCCCCCCCTTTCCTGACCTGCTGCTGGCTGCATGCTCAGATAGGGGTCTGGTATGTATTTCTTTCATTTTGGCAAGGGGTCCCCCTCAAAATCCATACCAGACCCCCCAGGGGGGGGGACCCCACGCCATTTTCTTATATTTTTGTTGCCGGTAAATTTTTTTTTTTTTTTTCGATTTATCGGTTGGTTAGGACGCAGCGCCGCGCTCGCTCCCTAACAACCATGTTGTTTACTGGTTGTTAAGGATGCCAGCGGCCGCCCACTCTTTACCAAGCAGTACACATTTCCTGAATGCCGCATGTCTCCACCACTAATTAATGACCGCATGCATTTCATTCTTTATTTCCTTCTGTGAATGTAACGCCTGTTCATGCGGTATTTACTGAGCGTGTTCAGTGTTTGTGGTCAATACCGCAACACGGGATAGGAAATGGACAGTTTCAGGATGGCATGCGGTATTTAGGGGAAATGTACCCACATATCACATGTGATCTGCTTCTGTGAAGGGAGACAATGTGTGGATTTTGTGTGTGATGTCACAATCATAAATCTTACATTTTACAGATGATATTTTCTCTCATTTCCTTGATTTAGAGTGGAGATCCAATCGATATAGAATTTGAGGTGAAAGCAGAAGAAGAAGAGGCGTATGTGAGGGATGATCAGCAGTCTATGGAGGAGGATGGAATAACGGGGACATTTATAGAGGAGGACACTCCTACAGAGATCAGCACAGGTGGGTCATGAACACTAAATCCATTCCTCCACCCATACTGCTCACTGATTGGTCCAGAGTAGGGCGGGGACTGGGTGATATCAGCCTGTAATCCCCTGGTCACTTTCCTGAGCTGTGTTCCCCCTGTCCTGTATTCCTGGATTTCTCTCGGATAATCTTCCTTCTCTGTGCTGCAGACACAATTTATGTCTCTAGACTGGATTTATGGAGGTTCTGGGGTTCAGCTGGCAGCAAAATGTTCATTTCACCATAAGTGTTACTAGACCTAGGGCACCTGGACATGTGATTGGGTGTCCTCCTGCCTTGTGCCTGACAGAACATTTCTCCCAGGGTTCCTTGCTCTGTGGTCTGCTGGCTGTGCCGGGTGGAGGGATATGTCTGTAGTGTCTCAGACCCAAGTCACTGAGTGCAGTCTCAGGAGATGGGAGGCAGCGGTGTGGGATCTCTGCAACTTGTCTAAAATTACTTTACCCCTACTGGGAGATGAGCAAAGGTTTTCAAAAATTCGATTCGACGGGAATTCGGCAAAATTTCGGGGAAACCAAATCGATTCGAGTGAATTTTACTCCCCTGTAAATTTTAAACTTAAAAAAGGGTGTTTTCTGGCTTAAAAAGGACTTAATATTAGTGCAGAACATTTGTACCTTTAATTTAAATCCCCTTGGAGTTGCGGGGGAAGGAAATAAAAACCTGTCAAGTCAATAAACATGCGATGAGTGCCTTTCGATTTAAAATTTAACCCCCACATTTCATTTTTGGGCCAGTCAGGGGGCCAAAAACCGTTTTGGGAAAGCCACATTTGTGGCGGTGGAGGCAGCAGCAAGGGGGAGGCCTTAACCCAACCTTTGACAAAAGGGAAAACCGCAGGATTTGGGGGGAAAGACCTGAAAGGGGGCCCAACATGGCAGATTTGGGGAGCAAGGGGAGGCGGGGTTACGGGCCCCCAGGTCACAGGGGGGCCCCACCCAGCAGCGTGACCAGGGGTAGGGGGGGCCATGGCCGATTTGGGGCCTTTGGCAGCCCCTATTGGGGGGCCCCCGAAATCTGCCAGCAACCTATGTCAAAAGGGAAAAAAGCACAGGGGGTTGTGGAGACCTCAAAGGGGGGCAAAGGGCGGTGGAAGCAAATGGGGGGCCGTAAGGGCCCCAGGTCACACTGGGGGCCCTCGGGCGGGCAGGGGGCCCAAAGGGGGGGGGGGTAGGGGGCCCAGGGCCTTTGGGGGGGCCCTGGGGCTCCTAGGGGGACCCCCCGGAATCGGGCAAGCACCCTATAAACAAAAGGGAAAACCCGGGGGCTTTTTTGGGCAGGAAGACCCCCGTTCTTTTTCAGGGTTTTTCCCCGGGCCCACCGAAAAGGCAGCTGCATTTGCTGACGCAAGCTGTAAGTCCAAATGGGCCCCCTGGCCACGCGGACTTTCTGGCCACATGGGTCGCAAAAAGGGCTTTGTTTACTTCCTGGGCGGCTTTGACGAAAATTCCCACACCCAAACGAGTAGGAAACTTTCCCCCCCGCTACCCCTCACTGGCTGTTTGCTATTTCCCCCGTGCACAGGGCACCCTACTGGCCTTTGGTTTGGTAGGCTGCAGGGGGGGTGGTGCCCCTTATTTTCGTGGCTGTTTGCCCCCACGACACGCTGGGGCCCTTGTTTGCCTCCTGGCCCAAGCAAAAAAGGGGACCCGGGTACGGGGACCCATGAGAGACTCTGGACTTGGAGCAGCATGGGGAAAGGCTGGTTATATAGGGGCATGGCAGAAATTTTATGGGAGGCCTGTAAATCTCCCGGCAACCTTTTGTAAAAAAGGGGAAACCGCAGGAGTGTGAGGAGACCTCAAAGGGGGCACAGGCGGAGTGGAAGCAATGGGGGGCCCCCGTCCGGGGCCCCAGGTCACACTGGGGGGCCCCAGCACCCAGCGTGACAGGGGGTTAGGGGGGGCCCATGGCCGTTTTGACCCCTGGCAAAAACTATGGGGGCCCCTTTTTAATTGCCAGCAACCTTTTGTCAAAATGGAAAAGACAGGGGGGTGTGAGGAGATTTCAAAGTGACAAGGGCAGAGTGGAAGAATGGGGGTGGGCCCGGTACAGGGGGGGGGGGGTGGGGGAATCCCAGGGTCCCAAAAACCTTTTCGGGAAACAGCTTAAAAAAAACCCGGGGGGAAACCCAAAAGGGCCCGGCGGTCGGGGGCCCATGGCCCGGGAATTTTGGGGCCCTGGGGGGGCCATTTTTGGGGTGGCCCTGGTTTAAATTTCGGGCCAGAAAACCTATGTCAAAATGGAAAAGCACAGGAGTTGAGGAGACCCCCCAAAGTGAAACATGGCAGAGGGAAGCAATGGGGAGGCCGTACGGGGGGCCCCCGGGGCCCACACTGTGGGCCCAGCAGCGGTGCCCCGGGGCCCGGTACGGGGGGCCCATGGCGTTTTGGGGCCGGGCCCGGGCACCAAAGGGAAAGGGGCCCGGGTAATCTGCCAGCAACTATGCAAAAGGGAAAAAAGCACAGGAGTGTGAGGAGCCCTCAAAGGACCCCAGGCGGGAGGGGAAGCAAGGGGAAAGGGCCGTCAGGGCCCAAGGTCACACGGGGGGGGCCCCCCAGCACCCGCGTGACCAGGGGGTTTGGGGGCCCCAAGGGCCCCAAATTTGGGGGCCCGGGCCCCGGCCCCTTTATGGGAGGCTGTAACTCCCCAGCAACCTATGTCAAAAGGGAAAAAGCACGGGGAGTGTGAGGGGGACCCAAAGTGACACATGGCGGGAGGGGAAAAAGCAATGGGGGGCCCTACAGGGACCCGGTCACATTTTGGGCCCAAAAGCAGCGGGCGGGACCAGGGGGGTTGGGGGCCCATGGCCGATTTGGGGCCTGGCGGGCCATAGGGAAAGGCCTGTAATCTGAAAGAAAAACCCTTGTAAAAATGGAAAAGCACAGGGTGTGGGTGGAAAGGAGTAACCTAAAGGGGGTGACAAGGGCCCCAGAAGGGGGAAACCCAAGGGGGGGGGCCCGGTTACCAGGGGAACCCAGGGTTTCAAAAAAAAACTGGGGGGCCCAATGGCCCGGCGGGGGCGGGGAACCAAGGGCCGGTAACGGGGCCGGATGGCCCGGTTTGGGGGCCGGGCCCCCGGGCCCCTAGGGGGGGGGGGGTTTGTAATCGCCAGAACCTTTTGTCAAAAAGGGAAAAAGCACAGGAGTGTGAGGGAGACCTAAAAAGTGACACATGGAAAGAGTGGAACCCGGGGGGGAGGCCGTACGGGGGCCCCCAGGTCACATTTGGGGGGCCCCCAGAAAGCAGCAGTGACCAGGGGGTAGGGGGGCCCCATGGCGTTTTGGGGGCCGGGCCCGGGCCCTATGGGGGGCCCTGAAATCTGCCAGAACCCCTTTTTGGTCATTTAAATGGAAAGGAAAGGGGAAAAGGGGGTTAAAGGGGAAGGACCCTCAATTGGGGGGGAACAAATGGGAAAAGGGAAGGGTTGGGGGGGGAGCAGATTGTGGCGATGGAGAGTAGCAGCCAATGGCGGCGTACAGGGAACATGCGCAGCATCTGGTCTTAGGCAGAGTGATGGGAGGCGGTGATAACGGGGCTGAGATTAGTAGGGCCTGGAGGCAGCATTCTGAGGCCCGTTATCTCGCCTGAACCATATAGTCAAAAACTTTTAAACACACCATCAGGAGTGACAGCGTCCTGAAGTGGACATAGGGCCAGGGAGAGGGGCAGTGGGAAGGGGCGGTAAGGAGAAGCAGCAATGGGAGTCATAAGGGCAATAGATGCTCAATCATTGCGCAGCATGACGGATGCGGGTTAAAATCTTGGTTGATATAGAGGCAGTTTAGGTTGAGGTCGAGCCTATATTGGCCTAACACTTCCATCCATCATTCCAAAAAATAAACCCACATGCCTGTGTTACTATCATACCCGTTTGCAATTATATCTTTTTGTCATTATCTATCCTGTTAATTCTACCTTTCTTCTATATTTTCACTGGTCACCTTGGGGGCCCGCCACCCGTGCCCAAGGGGGGTTTTCCCGGGGGGCCCCTTGGCCGTTTTGGGGGCCTGGCGGAACCCTATGGAAGGCTGAAATTTCCCCAAAGCCCCCTTTTATGAAAAAATAAAACCCTGGGCTGGGGCAGGGGAAACCGCGTATCTTTTTTCACCCTTTTTCCCGGGCCCCACCAAATTTGGGGGGACGTTTGCTTTAGGGCTGACGCAAACGCTTTTTAGCCCCAAACATGGGCCCCCCCTGGCCCACGCTTGATTTTTCTGGCCCCCAATTGTCAAACTTTTACGGTTTATGTTTATTTTCCTTCGGGCGGCTTGCGAAAAATTGCCCCCCCAAACCCACAGGGGCCCCGGGGTTAGGAAACTTTGCCCCGAAAATCCCTGGGTGACGATCCCCTTCCTGTGCAACCGGCCCCACTATTGGCCGGGGGGGGTAGGCTGCAGTGGGTGGTGCTTACTCCTTGGCCTTTTTGCCTAAAAGGGACACTGCTCCCCCCCCCTGCTGCCCCCTGGCAAGCAGCAATGGGGGGGCCCTGTAAAAGGGGACCCTTTGAGGACTCTGGACTTGGCGGCGCATGAGGAAAGGGGGGTTAATGGGGGCCCCATGGCGGGATTGGGGGCCGGGCAGCAGCTATGGGAGGCCCGAAATTTGCCAGCACCCTATGTCCAAAAAATTAAAACAAAAACAGCAGTTTTGTGAGGGACCTGAAATTTGGCACAGGGGCAGATTTGTGGCGATGGAGACAGCAGCAATGGGTAGGCCGTAAAGGGACCCAGGGAAGACTCGGGAAACTTGGCAGCAGAAATTGGGGGGCTTTTTTAAAATTGGGGGCCCATGGCGTTTAAAGGGGCCCTTTTGGCCCACAGCTATGGGGGGCCCCGAATCTCCCAGCCCCCTATTTTAAAAAAATTCAACACCCCAAAAGTGTGAAGAGCCCTAAATTTGGGGGCAATGGCAGGGGTGTGGCGAGGGGAAACCAGC